ATGACAACTAACAGCTAGGAGATAATTTCCTTACAGTTGACTGTGATGAAGTTGTTAAGTGATGACCTAGTGTGAAAGAGCAAATTTCTCACCTAGCATCTCTTTATAAAAATCCCAGAGAATAACTGATTGACCCCAGCATTTATGCATGTCTATCCCTGGCAATCATTGTGATCAGTGCTCTCACTGCTTTGCTGAAATTGGTTTAGAAGGACCAATCTCTGTCCACCCTCCCATATACTTGTTGTAGGCAGAAAAGCAGTCTGCGTTTGCAGAGCTTTAAGTCCATAGCAGTGTTTAGTGCTGGTCTCTTAAGCATATTAAGTTGGACCATATGAAACTGTCAGTACTCAACTACTTTTTTTCTTTTTTTCTCTGCTGCTTCAATCAACATTCAACCATTTTCGACCTGTAAAAAGCCAATTTCATATGGTTCAACAGGCTTGTGATGTCTCTGTGGCATGTTCTTAGCATGAGTCAAAGTCCTTCCCTGTCTTCCATTCAGCAGAACCCCATGTAGAAAAGTTTGTACCTGTGGTTCCAAAGCCCACTTGATTGTCAACTTCGCAGTAGCAGCTAAGTCCCTACAGCTAACTCTCTCTGCCGTGCCATGTAAGAGCACAGCAACCCTCCTACCAACATCATTTATTAAGGACTGGTTTCTAGCCATTAATTTAACTCACTCTGTACCCCATACTGGAGTGCAGTGTGCAATCACAGCTCACTGCAGCCTTATCTCCCCAGGCTCAGGTACCTTATCTCCCCAGGCTCAGGTAATCCTTCCACCTAAGCCTCCTGAGTAGCTGGAACTACAGGCATGTGCCACCATGCCTATCTAATTTTGTTGTTGTTGTTGTATTTTTGGTAGAGATGATGTTTTGCCACGTTGCTCAGGAGGTTCTTGAACTCCTGAGTTCAAGGGATCCAACCAACTCAGCCTCCTAAACCGCTGGTATTACAGATAGGGCCACTGTGACTGGACTATGCCAAATTTTTATTAAGGACAGTGGGAATATTGGGAATAAAGAAGCAAATAAGCCGGGCCTGGTGGCTCATGCCTGCAATCCCAGCACTTTGGGAGGCTGAGGCGGGCGGATCACAAGGTCAAGAGATCAAGACCATATTGGCTAAAATGGCAAAACCCTGTCTCTACTAAAAACACAAAAAATTAGCTGGGTATGGTGGTGTGTGCCTGTAGTCCCAGCTACTTGGGAGGCTGAGGCAGGAGAATCGCTTGAACCCAGGAGGTGGAGGTTGAGATAAGAGATCGCACCACTGCACTTCTGCCTGGTGACAAGATTCCGTCTCAAAAAAAGAGAAGCAAATAAAGTCCTTGCTTTTCAGGAGTTTACATTCAAGTGGAAGGAGACAGACAAATATATGTGTGGTGGTGTTTAGCGGTGCTGAAGAAAAACAGGGTAAGAATAATGCAGAGTGCCAAAGTGAGGAGGAAAGCACTTCCTATTGTGTATTTTCTCATTGTTTCACCTCACTAGAGAATATGCTATGAAGGCATGGATTTTGTCTATTTTCTCTCCTTCTCTATCACCAGTGGTAGAACAATGCTTTTGTGTCCTAGAACAAGTGTGTGAGTGGGCAAAGACTGTAATTCATCTGCCAAGTTCATAAATACTGTTCAGCAATCTAGTGAGGAGTGCCTTGCTTTCTTGGTCCTCCTGAAGAAATATGAACACTGTTTGACAGGTTGCTATAGAACAAAGTGGAAACCCAGGAGCTTCTCAATGGATTTTATAAGAGTAATTTGCAGCCAGGAATTAAGAACTAGCTCTATCCAGGCACACATAACATTTTAGATCTGTATTAGCTAGCTCAGGCTGCCATAACAAAGTGCCGCAAACTGGGTGGCTTAAACAGAAATTTATTTTCTCTCAGTTCTGGAGGTTAAAGGTCCAAGATCCATGTGCCATCAAAGTTGGTTTCTGGTGAGGCTTCTCTTCCTGGCTTGTAGATGGCTACCGTCTCACTGTGTCTTCACATGGCCTTTCCTCTGCACATGGTGAGAAGACAGAGCAGTCTCTGTTCTTTTTTTAGAGGCTTGGTCTTGCTATATTGTTCAGGATGGAATGCAGTGGCTTTTCACAGCTGTGATCTCATTACTAATCAGCATGGGTGTTTTTGTTTCTTTTGTTTTTATTTTGTTTCGTTTTTTTTTTGAGATGGAGTCTCGCTCCATTGCCCAGGCTGGAGTGTGGTAGCACCATTTCAGCTCACTGCAACCTCCACCTACTGGGTTCAAGCAATTTCTGGCTAATTTTTGTATTTTCAATAGAGATGGTTTCACCATGTTGGTCAGGCTGGTCTTGAACTCCTGGCCTCAAGTGATCTGCGCCTCGGCCTCTCAAACTGCTAAAATTACAGGTGTGAGCCACTGCGCCCAGCCTAGCACGGGAGTTTTTACCTGCTCCATTTTTGGCCTGGGCCAGTTCACCCTTGGTCCACTCCCAGAAGGTCACCATATTGATGCTGAACTAAGTACAGACACCTGATCAGTATAGCACATCACAGCCCAGAATTTCTGGCCTCAAGCAGTCCTCCCCAGTTTACCTTCCGAGTAGCTTGCATAAGAAGGTAGAAAGTGCATTCTTGTGCTGAGTAAGTTTCTCAGAAGGGTCTTCAGACTGAGTAGCATCAGTGACCCCATTGATATGGCTCCAAGGATTGGAGGAACACCAGAGTCCTTTGTCTCCTGCCGGTTTAAATAAAATGACACAGACACACATGGAGTGGTTTTAAGGAGCAGAGAACGTAATAGGCAATAAAGAAGAGGCTCCCTCATACAGAGACAGAGGGAAGAGCTGAAAGAGGGAACCCCGGGTACAGCAGACAACAGCCAGTTATATTATGAGGTCAAGAGTTCGAGAGGAGATGGTGTCTGATTTGCAAAGGGCCCAGGAAATTGGTTTGACCAGGTATGTAATTTACATAGCCTGCAAAAGATCTGGCCCTCCCACCCTAGCCTTTTAATATGCAAATGTAGGGTGCCATGATGTTCTACACACATGGGGATATGCGGGGATGGCCATGCTGCTAGGCACATGTGGGGACAAGAAGAAAAGGGGAATCACCATATTGAGTAAACCTAGTTTCTAATGGCCTGCATTTGTATACCAAAGCTTGTCAGCCCAGCTTTTTTGCTAGACAAGAAACATTTCTGGAGCTGCTTTAAAAAAAAAAAAAAAAAAACTTCCCAAAGACCACTTTTCCTCTCTATCCGCCTAAAATAATTTCTTTTCTTTCTTTTTTTTTTGGTAGATGTATGGTGTTATTTCTGAGGCCTCTGTTCTGTTCCAAAATAATTTCTTAATAACTCCTATAACACCATTGGAGTACAGAATCTGGGAAATATCTCAAAATGGAAAACTTGAGATTTCTTAACCGAGACAAAGATACTATCTGTAGATAGTTTTCTATTGAAAGCTTACCTTTTGTTAAAAGTCTAGCAATTTGGCCAGGTGTGGTGGTGGCTCACGCTGGTAATCCCAGAACTCTGGGAGGCTGAGGCGGGTGGATCATTTGAGATTGGCACTTTGAGACCAGCCAATACAAAATTAGCTGGGCGTGGTGGCGCATGCCTCTAATCCCAGCTACTTGGGAGGCTGCAGCAGGAGAAACACTTGAACCTGGGAGGTGGAGGTTGTGGTGAGCCCAGATCATGCCGCTGCACTCCAGCCTGGGAAACAAGAGCAAAACTTCATCTTGAAAAAAAAAATCTAGCAATTTAGTTTTATTAAAATTACAAGGATTGTATCAGGGATACAATTCACACCTTAACAGGTTTATAAATGCAATACACTATTGATTTTATGTATTTTTCCTATCTGTGAATACAATACTCTCAAGTCCTTTCAGGTATGACTCATTTAATGAGTGTGATACTTAATGGAACGCCTATGAAATGAATACAGTGGGCTCACCCCAGCATTTACCTTAGAAGGCTAATTTAAGAGTGAGGCTTGGGGGAAGACAGTTTTCCTAGGGCCAGAAGTTTTCCTGGTTATTAACCCCAGGCTGGTTTGTTTTAGGCACTTATGAAGTAATTGTTGAATGACTGAGACAAACAGGAGACACATTGAAGGGAAGCTTCTTTAATTGCCTCTTAATCCAGGGAAAGGCACAGAATTACAACCACCAGCTAGTTTTGCTCCAGGCTCTACCTTTTACCCTCGTGGCTTAAAGGCTCTTGCCCCTGCAGTTCACTTTTTAAGTGTTCTTGTTCCCTCGTTTTAAAATCTGCCTTCTGTTTAGATTACATCCACCCGTAAAATCTGTGAACCATCGTCAATTTTATTTTATTTTATTTTTGAGACAGTGTCTCACTCTGTCACCCAGGCTGGAGTGCAGTGGCATGATCTCGGCTCACTGTAACCTCCGCCTCCCAAGTTCAAGGGATTCTCCTGCCTCAGCTTCCCCACTAGCTAGGATTACAGGGTATGCCACCACGCCCAGCTAATTTTTTGTGGTTTTAGTAGAGACGGAGTTTCACAGTGTTAGCCAAGCTGGTCTCGATCTCCTGACCTCGTGAACCACCCGCCTTTGCCTTCCAAGTGCTGGGATTACAGGTGTGAGCCACCACGCCAGTTCCACTGTCAATTTTCAAAAATGAACTCAAGTCCTTTACTTGTCCATCTTAGATTCTAGGCAAGAAATAAGTAATTTGCCCAGGTGATGATGAAAATGAGATGCAACTTTTCCCTAAATTCTCTTTCTGTTATAGCGTTAATAGCTTAAGATTTGGAGGTAAACGAAAATGGAGAATCAGCAACCATACTTCAACCTTATTGTAAACTGACAAACACTAAAAACGTTTTAAGTTAAAAGTACCCTCTATCCTTTGTAGAGATATAAAACCAAAACAAATCAAACTCCGACTACAAGGGTTACTCACTACACACTCAAATCCACCTCCGCGACTGGAGGAGGAAGGGCAACTGGTTCTGGCACCCCTCTAAAAACGCCTCACCACGTTCTGCGACACGGCCGGAAGTGACGCATAACCTGCGACGCCAGTGCCTGCAGCCCACAGCTGCGGGAGTCGGCCTTCAGTCGCACCGGAGACCGCGTACTTTCCTCCGATGGTTGCAGCAAAGGGATCATGACGGGGAAAAAGTCCTCCCGGGAGAAACGGCGCAAACGTAGCAGTCAAGAGGCCGCCGCGGCGCTCGCGGCCCCGGACCTCATACCTGCCTTGGCCAGCGGCGGCAGTGGAAGCACTAGCGGCTGCGGTAGCGCCGGTGGTTGTGGGAGCGTCAGCTGCTGTGGGAACGCCAGCTTCAGTGGAAGTGTCACCGGCGGTGGAAGCGCCGGCAGCTGCTGGGGTGGGAGCAGCGTGGAGCGCAGCGAGCGCCGGAAGCGGAGGAGTACCGACTCTTCTTCCAGCGTTTCGGGCTCCCTGCAGCAGGTGCGTGCGCGCCCCTCTCGCCGCTTTCTGGAGCTGCTGCTTTTTTGAAGAAGTTAGGCTACTAGAGGGATGGGGCGCCGGCTGGAACTTACTGCTAGCGCGGCGATCCCAAGGTCGTCCGTGCTTGAGGTTCATGTTCCTAAGTCCTGGTGAGCTCCACACTCCCATCCATATCTTGAATCTTGAACTTCAAGTTTCTGGATTTCCTGATCACTTGACTTTTTTTTTTTTTCACCCTTGGCTCCTTCCACTCCAATGATTTCAGTCTCCCAGAAGAGTATGAGTTGGAAGCTAGCCTTCATTGCCCTTGCTAGCCAAACACTTCTCCGTTTGTCTTCACCTTTTCGTAGATATGGTTAACGCCACATTACAGATGAGAAAATTGAGGTCCAAAGAGGTTAAGAAACTTTACTTAAACGATCACAGAGTTTGTTAATAGCTCCTAGATTTGAATCCAAATATCTGACTACAAAAGCCGTGTTCTTTATATGCAACTAATCTGCCAAGATAACACCGATTGAAAAAAAAAATTCGTAATTCGTTTCAAAACGAATGAATATGTACTTTAAATTTATTCAATGTGGAAATAAAGGGAAAGCGTATTCTTGCCTCTCCATTAATATTTTGATATGCAGCCTCTTTCCATTACTTCTCGTCAGATATGTGTATTTAAGTTCCTACACTTAAGCTGTAGTGTTATTCCAGCTGTTGAATGCCTGCATTGTTGTGATAGGTTTCTTTCTATACGTGGTTTGTTATTTTTAGTGACTTCCTGGTATTTTATATTTTTACTGCTATTTAGATTTGCAGGTTTTTTTGTATTGTTGTGACTCCATTACAAATACCTTTGTTTATATATCTTCTACCAAGAGTTATGTTGGGAGAGTGTGAGAACTCAAATTCCTGGGTCAAGGCTTATGCTATGAGGAAACTTAGTGAATGCCATCAAATGCTTTCCAGATAAGACTTTACAGATTTGTAGTCCAAACAGTATACATATAAGAATACACATATATAAGAATACTTATTTCCGAAATTCTTAACTAGCATTTGATAACCATTTTTTTAAAAAAAATTGCCAGACTAATGGGTCAAATTAATATTGTGCTTGATTTTATTTTCCTGATTAGTGAGATTGAACATTTTAATATTTTTATTTGCCATTTGATTCCTTCTTATGTATTTTCCTGTACATATCCTCTGCTCATTTTTCTCTTCAGTGTTTCAACTTTTAACTGATAAGTTTCAAATATTTTCACATAAAGCCTTGGTTCTAATTTTTATGTAGAGTGTATTGCAAATATTGTTACAACTTTGTCCAGGGTGTACTGAAGCCTTTGATTTTTTTAATTTTTGTCTTTTTTTTTCTTTGTTTTAATTTGCCTTTGATATTTTTTTGTAGTCAAAGTGAATATTTTCTTGAGCCTTCTGGATTTTGTGTGTTGTTTAGAAAGATCTTTCCTATTGCAAGATTATGAGACTATTCTGTATTCTCATATTTTTTAACATTCCATTTTTTTGTTGTTGTTTTGAAACGGAGTCTCGCTCTGTCGCCCAGGCTAGAGTGCAGTGGTGCAGTCTGGGCTCCCTGCAGCCTCCGCTTCTGGGGTTCAAGTGATTCTCCTGCCTCAGACTCCCAAGTAGCTGGGACTACAGACGCTCTCTAACACGCCCTACTAATTTTTTGCATTTTTAGTAGACATGAAGTTTCACTCTGTTGGTCAGGCCAGTCTCGAACTCCTGACCTCTTGATCCACCTGCCTCGGCCTCCCAAAGTGCTGGGATTACAGGCTTGAGCCACCGCACCCGGCCAACATTACATTTGGAAGTTGGGAATTAAGGAAGCATGGGCTATGTATTTTTATGTATTTTTCTTGTATCTAACCACTGTATTATTAGTTTGAAATTATTTGTTACAGGTTTTGAAATATCTTTGACCAGGTTAGGAAATTCTTCTTCAATTCTTAGTTCAGTATGGTTCTAGAGTTTTATCAGGTGGTTTTCTGGCATTGTGTTGAGATGATCACATACTTTTTCTCCCTTTAATCATTTAATGTAATTTATTGATAAATTAGTTGATGTTGAACAGTCTTTGGAGTCTTGGAACAAGCTCTCTTTAGTTTGTTGAGTTTCTTGTACTTGGCTGGAATTCAGTATTTTTACTTTTTGTTTTCTGAGACCGAGTTTCACACTTTTTGCCTAAGCTGGAGTGTAATGGCGCGATCTCAACTCACCACAACCTCCGCCTCCCGCGTTCAAGTGACTATACTGCCTCAGCCTCGCGAGTAGCTGGGATTACAGGCGTGCGCCACCAAGCCTGGCTAATTTTGTACTTTTAGTAGAGATTGGATTTCTCGATGTTGGTCAGTCTGGTCGTGAACTCGTTACCTTGGGTGATCCGCCCGCCTCGGCTTCCCAAAGTGCTGAGATTACAGGCACGAGCCACCTCAGCGGCAGTGGAGCCTCCCCTTGTCGCCAGGCTGTAGTGCAGTGGAGTAACTGCTGCCTCCCAAGTTTAAACAATTCTCCTGTCTCAGTCTCCTGAGGAGCAGGGACTACGGGAGCATGCGGTCACACCCAGCTAATTTTTCTATTTTTAGTAGACACACGGTTTCACTATGTTGGTCAGGATGGTCTCAATCTCTTGACCTCGGGATCCGCCCTCCCAAAATGCTGGGATCACAGACGTGAGCCACTGCCATCAGCCTATTTTTAATTTGATGTAAATGTTTCTAGATTAGATCAGCCTGTGGTTTTTATTTTTGTAATGGATTGAGTTAGGAAGCTTTTTGTCTTTTTGGTGTGTTCCAGAATGGTTTATATTTTCTTCTCATATATTTGTCAGAAATATCTGGGTCTAGTGGAGTTTTTTAGGGTGATTAAAAAAAAAAAAACTCTTTAAAAATTTTTTAATATAGATCTATTAAGTTTTGCCACACCTAGATTCAATTTTGGATATCACATTCTTATTTTAAATAGTTTATTTATTTATTTATTTATTTATTTTGAGACAGAGTCTCATTGTGTCACCCAGGCTGGAGTGCATTAGCACTATCTCAACCCGCTACAATTCCCACCTCCTGGATTCAAGTAATTCTCCTGCCTTGGCCTCCTTAATAGCTGGGATTACAGGTACCCACCACCATACCTGGCTAATTTTTGTATTTTTTATAGAGTTGGGGTTTCACTATGTTGGCCAGTCTGGTCTCGAACTTCTGACCTCAGGTGATCCACCTGTCTCAGCCTCTCAAAGTGCTGGGATTACAGGCGTGAGCTACCTCGCCCATCCCAGTTTCCATAGTTCTAACACTCCATTATGATAGGGAGACCAACAACATTGGTCAATTGAATACTGAAAACATTTGCATACAGAATTAAACCCATCTTCTAATGAAATATGTGTGTATTTGTGAAGAAAAGGTCATTGCATATTAGGCATGTAGATAACATCTCAAACTTTAGAGTGCTATTGTATCTGTTGTGTATTGAGTTCCCTATTTTTTTGAAATATAGTTGACATACCATACAGTTCACCCACTTCACATGTACAATTAAGTGATTTTGTGTGTGTTCACCGAGTTGTGCAGCCATCACTGCAGTCAGTTTTAAAATATGTTCATCACTCCAGAAAGCAACCTTATGTGTTACTTTTAGCTATCATCCTCAATACTCACCCCTACTGTGCTCCATACCTGTTTAACTACTAACTTATTTCTTAATTCTATAGATGTATACATTTTCCTGTTCTGGACATTTTATATGAATGGGAATCATATAATATGTGGTGTTTTGTGTCTGACATTTTTACTTAGCATAATGTTTTTAAGGTTCATCCATATTGTAGCACATCAAGTTTATTCCTTTGTATCACAGAGATTCATGCCTTTTTATGACTGCTGTACCACATTTTGTTTTGTTTTTGTATAGCTGTACATAGGTACCACATATGTATAGGTACCACTATACCACATTTCATTTTTCCATTTATCACTTGATGGACATTTGTGTTGTTTCTGCCTTTTGGCTATTATGAGTAATGCTGTTAAGAACAAGTTTTCGTGTGGATGTATCATTACATTTCTCTTGAGTGTATATTTAGGAATGGAATTGCTGGGTCATATGGTGACTTTTTGAGGAACTGCCAAATTAGCTTCCAAAGTAGCTGCACAATTTTATAATCCTGCTGACAGTATATGAGGATTCCAGTTTCTCTGCATCGTTACATTGTAAGCTGTTAGAACAAGTACTAATTCTTTTACTTTTTCAGTCTAATTATCATAGTATTCTTTAAGAGTGACCCATTTTAAAACTGCTTTTTAAACAACTCTCTGACCTCTGGTCAGGGAAGATTCTCCAGAGAAAATGACTGTTGAATTGTCTGAATTATCTGAATTTGTTAATCTTGTAAGTGTGATAGAGAAAGGAGAGGAAAGACTGTCCTAGGAAAATGGTATGCAGAAGCCCTGCCTGTATGAGCTGAAAGAAGGAGAATAGGTTACAGTTCAGTAATTCAAAGGAGATTGTGTCCTGAACACAAGAATGAGCATGAAGTCCGTGTAGGCCATATTACCTTAAGAGCAATGGGGAGGATGCACACATACACATTTTATATGATCCATTCTGCTAACAGTATACAAAACAAGGAAACCTCAGATTAAATTCAGAGAGTCCCATTTAATGGCTTTTGGTGTAACCTAGGCAAAACATTGTAGCAGTTTGGAATAGAATTATAGAATAGATTTGGAGAGACTGGATACAGTTGGGAGAGAGTAAAATGGACAGAAATATCTTAAATTACTGAAATTGGTTACTTTCATTATGATCATGTAAATTTTAAAAATGATGATAGCTCCTGGTAAGTATATTAATTTACTGCATAATATCTGTGATTTGTAACTATTTTACTTCAATCTATTTATATGAATTGAAGTACAGTGATAATGCATACATAGAACTTTTGGGTGAATGGCCTGTTAGGGGAATATCCTAATTTTTTAAAAATTTAAACTTTAAGAAATTATTCAATATTTAGTATACTTTTGTTTGTGTATCCTAAATATCTCTTCCTTTTATAGCTACTGCTTGAGTTAATTGCAGTTTGGAGAGGAAAATCAAAGAATATTGAACAATTAAATATTCTCTCCTGTGGTTTTAGATAAATTATTGTGCAAAGTATTTGAGAATTTTTGATGAAGAATAACTTATTAAATAAAAATGTCATACATATTCTTTATATTTTAAATAGTATTATTTAATGTTTCTTTATTTTAACTTTAGGAAAGCAAATATATTTTGCCAACTTTGGAGAAAGAATTATTCTTGGCAGAACACAGTGACCTGGAAGAAGGTGGATTGGACCTGACTGTCTCATTGAAACCAGTTAGTTTCTATATATCAGACAAAAAAGAAATGCTTCAGCAGTGCTTCTGTATCATAGGAGAGAAGAAGTTACAGAAGATGCTTCCTGATGTGTTAAAGGTACTTCATTACACATCAGACTATATACATATGTAGAAATACAATTTTCTTTGTAGCAATTGTTTGTTTTACTTAATGCGTGTTTTTTTGAGACACAGTCTTATTCTGTCACCCAGGCTGGAGTGCAGTGGTGCAATCTTGGCTCACTGCAATCTCTGCCTCCCGGTTCAAGCAATTCTCCTGCCCTAGCCTCCTGAGTAGCTGGGATTACAGGTGTGCATCACCACGCCTGGCTAATTTTTGTATTTTTAGTAGAGACAGGGTTTCACCATGTTGTCCAAACTGGTCTCGACTCCTGACCTTGTGATCTGTCCCCCTTGGGTTCCCAAAGTGCTGGGATTATAGGGCTGAGCCACCTCACCCGGCCTTAATGCAGTTTTTAATTGGATGTTTGTATCGGAAACAGGCTACTTGAAAATATTTTGTAAAATGGAGAATCATAAACAGCCTTGTTTATTTAAAAATTTGCCAAGAAAAAATGTTTAGGCAAGAAATTTGTTGACCCTGTGGAGATTATTCTGTTAAGTACAGGGAATGGGAGTAATTAAATTGGACATATAGTCTTTCTGGTGCTTTAAGAAATAATGTCACAGCATGCTGCTCTGTAACAATAAACAACAATGGTTGGTAATACCTTATATTTCATTAGATTTGCAAGTACTTTTATGTAATTGTTTTTGAAAATTATTTAGGGAAATATTTGTTGTTCTAATTTTATAGTTGTAGAAATAGACCTCGGACACTCAAGTTAAGCTCGAGGTCATATATCTAAAGATACAAGACTTGAATATTTAAGCCTTTAGAATAATTACCTAACACAAATAGGCTGCTATTAAGAATAGCTGGGAAACTGACTCTCTTTAGTTTGTTCTTTGATAATAAATACAGCTTTATGTATTACCATCAAATCTATAATCTTCCCATATTAACTGGAAGTGTTTCAGATTTCATCCCAGGGAAAGGTGTATTTGAATCTAGTTGAGGCTTTAATTTATTTTATTGTAAGATTTTGCTAACTTAAATTTTTGTGATTGAAATTTTCCAGTTTACACTGGGGCTGTGTTACATAAATGCATTTTTTAAAATGTCATTTCCTTTAGAACTGTTCAATAGAAGAAATTAAAAAACTATGCCAGGAACAGTTAGAGCTCCTGTCTGAAAAAAAAATTTTGAAGATTCTTGAGGGTAAGAATACATATTTTTACATTCTGGTAACGTATTAGTTAATGGTGTATTCAGCATAAATCCTGAGGTAATCTTTCTCCTACTTGGATGTAACTTTAATTTTATTATTGAGTTATCATTGAAGAGTATTTTTACTTCTATTTGTACTAAAAAATACGGTTCACATATAAGAATAGCAGTTCAAGAATACACTTAATATGTTGTTTTTCCAAATCAAGTGTATATAGATAAGAGTGTAAGAAAATGAAGTAAAAAATATTTACCAAAGATCTGTTAAAAAATTAATTATTGAAAAGGCAAAGATTTCCCTTAAAATATTTTTAATTTTCTTTTTTAGATTTTTTACGTTGTTTAGTGACTTTTGCATACTGTTTATTCTCTAATAAGACCCAAGTATGGAGTTAGAATACTTCCATGCAATTTATCAGTATTTGTTTGTCTGCCTGAAGTATGACTACTCTTTGTGATACTTACACCTCTACAATTTGGGACTTTCGGCCATTTATTTTTTCTTTTGGAACTTTGTAAGGATTTTCACATTCACATGACAGGAGAAGAAACAAAAATTGGATCCTTTCATGAAGTTTCCAGAGATAGTTTCATTGTTTTTTTTTAAGCCTGACTCGTACTCTGTCGCCCAGGCTGGAGTGCAGTTGTGCGATGTCAGCTCACTGCAACCTCTGCCTCCCAGGTTTCAGCAATTCTCCAGCTTCAGTCTTCCAAGTAGCTAGGACTACTGGCACGCATCACAGCATTCTGCTAATGTTTTTTGTATTTTTAGTAGAGACGGGGTTTTGCCGTGTTGGCCAGGCTGGTCTCGAACTGCTGACCTCAGGTAATCTGCCCATCTCAGCCTCCCAAAGTGCTAGAGTTACAGGCTTGAGCCACTGCACCGGGCCAGATAGCTTCATTTTTAAATGTAAAATTGTTTGTTGGAATTTTGTAACTCTGGAAATAGATACATACATATGTATATAGTGTTTAAGTATATATGCACACATTTCTTGTTTGTATACATTTATATAATAGATAAAAAGAAGACAATAAGAAATACATAAGGCATTGAAAAAAGTATTTTAAATACAAGCAATTAAAAATGTAAATTTTGACCCCGTATAAAGTTCTTTAATCTGCATCACTTTTAAAGATGATTTTTTTAATGTAATGATTACACCATTGTAACTTTTTTTAAAGTGTCCTTTCAGTAGTTTCTTTCATTTGTAAGGTGACAATGGAATGGACTCTGATATGGAAGAGGAGGCAGAGGATGGCTCTAAGATGGGATCTGATTTAGTCAGTCAGTAAGTGTAAAAACTTTCATTTTTATTTCAAAATTTCTTTGTTATTCCTTTGATGATTCGTTATGTCAAGGATGTTACTGTTTTTTTTGTGTGTTTTATTTATAAAATCATTCAGTGCTATAAAAAGATTCATTTGTGTACTTGTAATGATTGGTCCTTTTGTTATATAGGAAGATGGCATTAACTACTTTCAGGATTAAGGTGATTTTTTAAAACTACTCCACATAGATAGAGAACAGTAGCAGTGCCAAACTGAAGCAGAATCACTCTTATTTGGATTTTGAATATGCTATTCATGATCCTCACTATTTATTTATTAAGCATTCCATCAGTTTCTATATTAACAGCATAGAACACTTGATCTCATTAAATTAATCTGTGTATCTATTGTTAGGGAATAATAGTCTCATTTCACAGATGAGATAGTTATGTTCATTTTATGTAAGTCTACGTATTTTACCTATAAATATATATTATTTTATTATTGGGATGATAAAATAATACTTAAAGTTTTGGGATGCTGACTAGTCAAGAAGCTACATGCTAATTGTTATTTTTTTATTTTATTAGTGTACATCAAACTTTCACCTATTAATTTGAGCATATATTGATGCACTTTGCTTAAAACAATTAACTATTTTGGTAGTTTCCAGAGAATGACTTGTTCTTTGCAAAGCTTAGCATTTTTCCTGAATATAAAGAGGAATATAAAGAGTTGTGCTAGATGAGAAAAAAATAAATTATAAAAGAAAAAGAAATACTCGTGCACAGGCAGTAGTACAAATAAGAGGTTACCAGGAGTAGTAGCATAGTGAAGTATATACTTAACCAGAAATACAGAATTTTTTTCATTTCTAAAAGAATGCTGCTGGGTAGGAGTGTTATAGGGTAATTTATTTGAAACCACAGAGTAGAAAATGTACATTTAAAAAAAATTATGTGTTTTATTGCACTTTAGGTTCTGGGGCACATGTGCAAAACATGCAGTATTGTTGCATAGGTACATACATGGCAGTGTGGTTTGCTGCCTCCATCCCCGCCCCCGTCACCTACATCTGGCATTTCTCCCCATGTTATCACTCCGCAACCTCCCTATCCCACACTGTCTCTCTCTTATTCCCCCACAACAGACCCCAGTTTGTGATGCTCGCCTCCCTGTGTCCATGTGTTCTCATTGTTCAATACAGGCCTATGAGTGAGAACATAACGGTGTTTGTTTTTCTGTTCTTGTGTCAGTTTGCTGAGAATGATGGTTTCCAGATTGATCCACATCCCTACAAAGGATATGAACTCATCCTTTTTTATGGCTACATGGTGTTTTTTCCTTGTCCAGTCTGTCATCGATGGGTGAACATACGTGTGCATGTATCTTCATAATAGAATGATTTATAATCCTTTGGATATATGCCCAGTAGCGGGATTGCTGGGTCAAATGGAATTCCTATTTCTAGGTCCTTGAGGAATTGCCAACTGTCTTCCACAATGGTGGAACTAATTTACGCTCTCACCAACAGTATAAAAAGTGGTTCTGTTTCTCCACATCCTCTCCAGCATCTATTGTCTCCAGATTTTTTAATGATCGCCATTCTAACTGGCGTGAGATGGTATCTCAATGTGGTTTTGATTTGCATTTTTGCAGTGATGATGTGCATTTTTTCATGTTTTTTGGCCTCATGTATGCCTTCTTCTGAAAAGTGTCTGTTTATGTCCTTCATCCCTTTTGAATGGGTTTGTTTTTTTCTTGTAAATCTGCTTTAGTTCTTTGTAGATTCTGGATATTAGCCCTTTGTCAGATGGGTAGATTGCAAAAATTTTTTCCCATTCTGTTGGCTGCTGGTTCACTCTAATGATTGTTTCTTTAGCTGTACATCAGCTCTGGAGTTTAATTAGATCCCATTTGTCTCTTTTGGCTTTTGTTGCCAAAGCTTTTGGTGTTTTAGTCATGAAGTCCTTGCCTATGCCTATGTCCTGAATGGTTTTGCCTAGGTTTTCTTCTAGGGTTTTTATGGTGTTAGGCCTTAAGTCTTTAATCCATCTGGAGTTAATTTTAGTGTAAGGTGTCAGAAAGGGGTCCAGTTTCTGCTTTCTGCACATGACTAGCCAGTTTTCCCAACACCATTTATTAAACAGGGAATCCTTTCCCCATTGCTTGTTTTTGTCAGGTTTGTCAAAGATCAGATGGTTTTGAATGTGTGATGTTGCCTCTGAGGCCTCTGTTCTGTTCCATTGGTCTATATCTCTGTTTTGGTACCAGTACCATGCTGTTTTGATTACTGTAGCCTTGTAGTATAGTTTGAAGTCAGGTAGAGTGATACGTCCAGCTTTGTCCTTTTTGCTTAAACTTGTCTTGGCTATGCAGGCTCTCTTTTGGTTCCATATGAAGTTTAAGATGTTTTTCTCTAGCTCTGTGAAGAAGGTCATAGGTAGCTTGATGGGAATAGGGTTGAATGTATAAATTACATTGGGCATTATGGTCATTTTCACAATATTCGTTCTTCCTAACTGTGAACATGGAGTCTTTTTCCTTCTGTTTGTGTTCTCTCTTATTTCGTTGAGCAATGGTTTGTAGTTCTCAGTGAAGAGGTCCTTTACATCCTTTCTTAATTGTATTCCTAGGTATTTTATTCTCTTTGTAGCAATTGTGAATGGCAGTTGTTCTTGATTTGGCTCTAAGTCTGTTATTGGTGTATAGGAATGCTTGTGATTTCTGCACATTGATTTTGTATCCTGAGACTTTGCTGAAGTTGCTTATCAGTTTCAGGAGATTTTGAGCTGAGACAGTGGGGTCTTCTAAATATACAATCATGTGTCTGAAAATAGAAACAATTTGACTTCCTCCCTTCCTAACTGAATACCCTCTATTTCTTTTTCTTGCCTGATTGCTCTGGCTAGAACTTCCAATACTATATTGAATAGGAGTGATGAGAGAGGGCATCCTTGTCTAGTGCCAGATTTCAAAGGGAATGCTTCCAGTTTATGCCCATTCAGTATGATATTAGCTGTGGATTTGTCGCAAATAGCTTTTATTATTTTGAGATACGTTCCGTCGATACCTAGTTTATTGAGAGTTTTTAACATAAAAGGCTGCTGAATTTTGTCAAAGGCCTTCTGTGCATCTATTGAGATAATCATGGTTTTTGTTTTTGGTTCAAAAACAAAATGTGGTGGATTATGTTTATAGACTTGCGTATGTCGAACCAGCCTTGCATCCCTGGAATGAAGCCTACTTGATAGTGATGGATAAGCTTTTTGATGTGCTGTTGCAATCGGTTTGCCAGTATTTTATTGAAGATTTTTGCATCTATGTTCATCATGGATATTGGCCTGAAGTTTTCTTTTCTTGTTGAGTCTCTGCCGGGTTTTAGTATCAGGATGATGTTGGTCTCATAAAATGATTTGGGAAGGAGTCCCTATTTTTGTGTTCTTTGGAATAGTTTCAGAAGGAGTGGTACCAGCTTCTCTTTGTATGTCTGGTAGAATTCAGCTGTGAACCCATCTGGACCTGGCCTTTTTTTGGTTGGTAGGCTATTAATTGCTGCCTCAACTTCAGCCCTTCTTATTGGTCTATTCAGTGTTTTGAATTATTCCTGGTTTAGGCTTGGGAGGACATAAGTGTCCAGGAATTTATCCATTTTTTCCAGGTTTACTGGTTTTTGGGCATAGAGTTGTTTGTAGTAATCTGTAATTATAGTTTGCATTTCTGTGAAATCTGTGGTGATATCCCCATATCGTTTTTTATTGCATCTATTTGATTCTTCGCTCTTTTCTTTTTTATTAATGTGGCTTGTGTCCTATTTTGTTGATCTTTTCAAAAAACCAGATCCTGGATTTATTGATTTTTTGAAGTGTTTTTTTGTGTCTCTGTCTCCTTCAGTTCTTCTCCGATCTTAGTTATTTCTTGTCTTCTGCTTGCTTTTGAGGTTTTTTGATCTTCCTCCTCTAGCTCTTTCAATTTTGATAATAGGGTGTTGATTTTAGATTTTTCCTTGCTTCTCATTTGGGCATTTATTGCTATACATTTTCCTGTAGACACTGTTTTAAATGTGTCCCAGAGATTCTGGTATGTTGTGTCTTCATTCTCGTCGGTTTCAAAGAACATCTTTATTTCTGCCTTTGTTTCATTTTTTATCCAGTCAACATTCAAGAGCCAGTTGTTCAGTTTCCATGAAGCTGTGTGGTTCTGAGTTAGTTTCTTAATCCTGAGTTCTAATTCGATTGCACTGTGGTCCGAGAGACTGTTTGTTATGATTTCTGTTCTTTTGCATTTGCTGAGGAGTGATTTACTTCCAATTATGTGGTAAATTTTAGAGTAGGTGTGATGTGGTGCAGAGAAGAATGTATATTCTGTGGATTTGGGGTGGAGAGTTCTGTATATGTCTCTTAAGTTTGCTTGGTCCAGATCTGAGTTCAAGTCCTGGATATCCTTGTTAATTTTCTGTCTCGTTAATGTGTCTAATATTGAGAGTGGAGTGTTAAAGTCTCCCACTATTGTTGTGTGGGAGTCTAAGTCTCTTTGTAGGTCATTAAGAACTTGCTTTATGTATATGGGTATTCCTGTATTGGGTACATATATATTTAGGATTGTTAGCTCTTCTTGTTGCATTGATCCTTTTACCATTATGCAATGCCCTTCTTCGTCTCTCTCGATCTTTGTTTGTGTAAAGTGTGTTTTATCATAGACTAGGATTGCAACTCCTGCTTTTTTTTGCTCTCTATTTGCTTGATAAATTTTCCTCCATCCCTTTATTTGTAGCCTATGTGTGTGCTTGCATGTGAGATGGGTTTCCTGGATATAGCACACCGTTGGGTCTTGAGTTTTTATCTAATTTGCCAGCCTTTGTCTTTTGATTGGGGCATTTAGCCCATTTACATTTAAGGTTAACATTGTTATGTGTGAATTTGATCCTACCATTTTGATGCTAGCTGGTTGTTTTGCCCATTGGTTGACACAGTTTCTCCATTGTGTTGATGCTGTTTACCATTTGGTATGTTTTTGGAGT